CAGCTGGCCTATGAAGCTCTGGAGTATGCAAAAATAGCACTTGAAAAAAATGAAGCGAATTTTGCAGCGCACAAGGTGAGCCAAGCAAAATAACTTAACTGAAATCTTGTCCTTTGATTTCTGCCAGTAGGAAACTGAAAAAATGTCATTGTGCTGTTTCAGCAAACTTCACGTAATTTAGCTTTTTGGTTGGGACTGCTCATTTTCCCTAATTTTTTTTTTTGAAGATCAGAGTTTAGACTTTTGCAGCTAAATTCCCTCTGCACAGGCAACAGGAACTGGTTAAATGTGTGCAGGACTGTGGAAAGAGATGACTGATCAGGTTGATTAGAGCTGATGTAATTGGCTCATCTTTCTCTGGTGCAGACATGCTGTACATGCCCCATGTTCAGCATGCTGTTTCTGTGCACAGTAGTAGCTCTGCAGAGTTTCACAGAACATACTTCTAGTCCTGGCTTCATCCTGCTATTTTTTTTGTGCTGCTTCTCATAGGCACAGAGGGAAAGCAGTGTAGTCAGTGGTGCTGCCATCTTGGCTAACAGGAGGGTGTTGATCCCCCATATGCATGCAGACCAGCAGGTAGCTCTGTTGCTGCCTGAGCCGGTCATAACCAAACACTTCTTGTTTGTTGTCATTGATGATGGTGGCAGCTGTTCTGTTTTTGTTTTCTGGTTGTTGTTTTTTTTATTATTATTTTTTATTTTATTTTAATTCACTATTAATAGCTATAGTTCTGTATTAAATGTTTTGTTTTTGTTCTTTGATTTACAGTGGTATGCAATTTGCCTCAGTGATGTTGGAGATTTTGAAGGAATCAAAACTAAAATTGGAAATGCCATTGTTATCAAAGAGCACTTCCAGGTAATGTGAACAGGTTTTTTTCATACAACACCATTAATGCATCCAGTATGTAGATTGCATAACACTTTGGGGTTTTGGGTTATTGTGACTGTCCTGAATGCCTCAGCAACAAGGACTACATACTATCACCTGCGTTCCCTAAACAAAGTCTACTTCGTCTGCCAAGAAGGGAGTCTTGAAATAGATAAAGTGCTTTGGACACCTCTTAGGACTGAATAAAACCTAACAGTGCTGCTTAGAAATGTGTGTGTGGCCATCCTTTGAACTGTGGACTGTGTAGCAGTAAAGGGGAAATGCTGGAGAAGATAAAGGACTATAGTTTTATATCATCAGAAATTACATCAAAATCTGAATGTGCCCAGCCTCATGTGAAACTTTTAATAGCCTGCTACACAGAAGTCTGTCAGTGTGTTCAGTTTTTTGGAGGTAAGCTGACGTAGTTGTGCACTGAATAAGTACTGCATCACCTGGAAGTTCTACATTGTTAATCTGATGTAATTAACAGTAGGATAACAAGTCTACTTTTTAAATGTATTTTAATCCAAATGTGGCAGAACAACTTTTTACATGTTCTGATTTTTCTTTCCCCTCACTAGAGAGCTGTTGAACTGAACCCAAAAGATGCTACAACAATTCATCTCATAGGCATTTGGTAAGATGTATTTTCAAACAAAAGTTAGTATGTTACAAAGAAAAATGCCAAAATAGAAAATGCCTTATAGGAATTGCAGAAATCCTTGGAATAATTCAGTGGCTTGTAGTTAGTTCATGCAAACATGAAAACCTATTGAATGGGTATAGGGTTTTTCATGCCTTGAAAAAGTCTGGCTGTTCTTATGCAGTTCAAAAAGATGAAAAATAATTTTTCATACAATTTATTTGTTTTACTGTATGGAACCATAAAAAAAACTCCTTTTGCAGACCTAAGTATGTTTCCATAGCAGACACCAGAGATTGTGAGTGCTACTTGTTTTGTCCTACTGATGTGAACAGTGACCAGACCATGAATTTACATTGAATTTCAGTGATGGCTGCAACTTAATACAACCTGTGCATAGTGAAAAGCTATCAAAAGTGAGATGTGTTCCTAAAAGATTTCCTTCATTATCTGTCATGATAGTGTATTTTAAAAGTCACTTTTCAGTAAAGACAGGTTACAAATGCATGTGCTTTAACAAAAATCTCTGAATTTACTGCTCAGTGAGATGGGTACTAAGAGTTCCCTGCTACACAGCAGGTGAAGGGACCAGAAATACAACGGTCCCTACTGATTAGGGTACTCTGTGGAAGTGGTGCAGGTGAAAGCAGCATCTTCTCTGTGTGAAAGATGCCTGCCAGCACTTCTGGGTATTTGTCTGAGAGACACCAAAGCTGCTACTTTGTTTTACAGGAAATCTCTACTGTAAGATTGAGAGATTGAAAACAAAGCTAGAGGTTTAAAAAAAAAAAAAGTCACAAACACAGCCACCTTCTCTATGTTGTTTGGTTTTTTGTTTCTGTTTTTTTTTTCTAGACTCTTGAATATCAGAATAAACTTAAATCTACTGTTCCAGAGTTTTTAATTAGTTTACAAACTTATTTAGGTTTTTCAGCATCCACCACTCATTCCCACACGACCACATGACAATTGAAGTAGTCCATATCTCTAAACAAAATTGTATGCTACCAACTGAGTGAGCCTCAGTGTCAGTGTTGAGATAGGAAGCTTGTTCTGGGAAGTACTTAAGACTTTATTCGTAAGGAAAATTCAAAATGATGATGAGAAGTGTGAGATTAGTACTGCTTTGGGCACCAAAATATCCCTGTATTGTATATTTAAATATAGTCATTATTGAGTCCCAGAGTATCTTCATCTGAAGCAGGGATTTGGTATCAGCCAATTCTTGACTGTTTTTTTCATTTTTAGTCCATCCAACATTTAATTTCTTTTATTGGCATTTCTGATAAGGAACATCTGATGGCTAATTTTCACCTCAGACTGTGTGTTCCATGCCTTGTCTCCCCTCTGCTCTGAACACTTTCATATCTGCATTTATTAATTTTTCACGTCCTCTAGAGTGCTCTGTTTTACACAGTGAATAATTTTTATACTCATTATCAGAGGGTAATAAAGTGAATAGCACTGGTTAACATTTACACCTGGAATGTTAAAATTAGAATTGCTCTAGTAGGAAGATCATCAAGTCCAACTGCTAAACCAGCACTGCCCAGTCACTGAGAAACCACGTCCCTAAGCACCACATCTACATGGCTTTTAAATACCTTCAGGTATGGTGACTCCACCACTTCCCTGGGCAGCCTGTTCCAGTCCTTATCAACCCTTTTAGTGAATAAATTTTTCATAAATTGTGCTAGCAGAAGTTTAGGTTGGTTTTTGAGGCCATTTCCTCTTGTCCTATCATTTGTTAGGTGGAAGAAGAGACCAGCACCCACCTCACTACAGCCGACTCTCAGGTAGTTGTAGAGAGTGATAAGGTCTCACCTGAGCCTTCTTTTCTCCAGGCTAAACAACCCCAGCTTCCTCTCATAAGACTTGTTCCCTAGACCTTTCACCAGCATCATTGCCCTTCTTTGGACACACTCCAGCACCTCAGTGTCCTTCTAGTGTTGAGGGGCCCAAAAATGAACACAGTACTCAAGGTGCAGCCTTGCCAGTGCCAAGTACAGGCAGGCAATCACTTCCCTAGTCCTGCTAGCCACAGTATTTCTGGTATGAGCCAGGATGCTCTTGGCCACCTGGGCACACTGCTGGCTCATGTTCAGGTGGCTGTTGATCAACACCCCCAGGTCCTTTCCCACTGTGTGGCTTTCTAGCCACTCCCCAAGGCTGTAGCATTGCCTGGGGTTGCTGTGACCCAAGTGCAGGACCAGGCAATTGGCCTTGTTGAACCTCATCCCATTGGCTTCTGTCCACCAATCCAGCCTGTCCAGGTCCCTCTGTAGAGCCTTCCTACCCTGAAGCAGATCAACGCTGCCAGCCACCTTGGTGTTGTCTGCAAACCTACTGAGAGTGCTCAGTCCTCTCGTCCACATCACTGATAAAGGTACTGAAGAAAACAGGCTCCAATCCTGAGCCCTGGGGAACACCACTTGTGACCAGCCTCCAACTGGATTTATCTCCATTCACCCTGACCCCCTGGGCCTCAGGGAGAACGCTCTGCACCCTACACATTTGAAATACTGAAGTGTTCAATCCTTCCAGCATCTCTGTGATTGATGACCTCTGTTATTTAGTAGACAGGAAAACAGTGTAGAATGCACAGCCTGGAACACCGTAGTTTGATTCTTGGGTTTATTTTCTTATAGATCAGAGTCTTTCAGGAATGTACTGCAGATCTGCTTTATGTTGAGAAAAACAAGGTAGTGTTGAGGTAAGGCAACAACGTTACTCAGTTGTGCCCTGTTTTTCCAAATGTATTAGAACAATATCAAATACACAAATTGTTAAGATCATTCAACCTCAAAAGCTGTGTCGTGGTTAATAACTGTCCCATTTTGACTAATGTAATAGCAGTTCCCAGTAACAGACAACCCAAAACCTCTCTAGCGAAGCTACGCAGCAGCTTCAAGCATCTTGCTGTTCTGTTGTACAGTTGTAAGAACTTGCCTGCAGAACTTGCAGTGTGGCAGGAGTTGTCGTGACTCTTGGAAACAACAATTCTGATGTGCAAGATATGAGAATGTTACTCAAAACCAAGAGAAAAATGTGAAGGGAATATGCAAATGTTTCCCTTTGCTGCAGGTGTTACTCCTTTGCTGAAATGCCGTGGTACCAAAGGAAAATAGCCGCGACGCTGTTTGCCACGCCGCCAACCTCCACCTTCCAAGAGGTACAATATGGAAATATCTCACAGATTTTTATTCCCCCCCACAAAGCTGCAGGTACATTTTTACTAATTTTCTTGACAAAGCTGGCACATGCTTATGGAATAAGCATCCCTTTGAAAGAAAGTGTAACAGGAGAGTGAGGGACATCTGAAACCAAAAACCTTCAATTTTTTTAGCTATAGCACACACAGAGCAAAGAAAATTATTTCGTGTAGTTCATGCAGCAGAAAATAACAAGCTCCATGTAACTTAGTTTGTGTTTACTAGTACGATCTCTTGCAGAAACCTGTCTGTACAAGTCCCAGTGCTGATTGATTACTTACATGGTGGGTGTTACGCCATGTACTTATTTGATAGGACTATTGGAAATTTCCCTTTTACATTAAATGTAAAAAGCAACAGTTTGCTGTGTCTCTTACGATGATCCTTCTCTTTACCTGGCTACATACGGTGTGGGCTTTCTCAGTTCAAAGTAGTTTTGTTCATCTTTGCTATGAAAATTTCTACTGGCATGCACCCTAGAACATACTGTCCAGATGTGTATCTTCGAGGGTGTATAACACCATATGCATCTTATTTAAACACTTGTACATATATAGAAACTTGAAAATTAAATTGGTATTAGGAAAGTTTGCTGCAGCTGTTAGAATCTTTCTTTGTTTAGATCAACCAGTAACTGGCTCATGATATTTTATTCTTTTAAGGTGGGAAAGGGCGTCAGAAGTCATTAGGAAGTAATTGTAGAGTCACTAGAAAGTAATTATAGAAGGCTGCTTGCTGTTACACAGAAAGCAATTTAAGTTCTGATTGAGAAAGAAATAAAACTTTTTAATGGAATGTCAGGCTTCTAAGTTTTGCTGAAAACCACTCTCAGAACAATACAAGGCGTCAGCCAGGATTTCAACTACTGCAGAGTCACGCTAGTCCCAGCATCAAATTATGTAGCACTTGAAGTGGCTGAAGAAGCAAAACTTGTCCCAGAAGCTGTAGCTGAGCCACGCTGGTAAGACTTCTGCAGTTTCAGTACAAAATCAGTTTTCTAGGTAGAGCCACACTTTTAAGTTCTTCAACAGTATTTTCCCTCCAGCTAATAACATGAAGAAGAGGTCGGAATGGACTGAAATTTCTGATGTACAGGATAGGAAACTAGCTGAAAAATGTGTGCAGATTTCATAAAGGTTTACTCTTTTCTGAGGATATTTAACTGGTATTCTGTAGGAGTCAGTTTTCCCTGAAGTATTTCTCAACATTAATGACCTGAATCATAGGATTAAATTTATACAGGAGAGCTGGCTGGAGGAAACTGCTGGATGGCAGAAGTAAAATTTGAAATGATCTTGACAAGTTGAAAATTGGGAAAAACACTGTCCAGTTGGCTAGGAACAAATATGAGGCACTGTACTCATGGAGGAACTGGCAGAGGAGTAGTTGGATAAGTACTAGTTCTGTTGGGATGTCCCAGCTGGTTGTATATTGCATGAGAACCAGGAGCAGCATGCTGAGTTAGTAAAAATAAGGTCATGGACAGGAAGTTCTTCATCAGCTACATTAAGCATGTGTGTAGGGCTTTAGTTTGACTACTGTGTTCATTTTATTGTCCATTTTCAAGAAGCCAACCTTATCTGTTGCAGGCTCTTCGTTACTTCCACATGGCAGAGGAAGGTAATACTTCTAGCTTTTTTGGACAAAATAGTATCTTATATGAATGATGAATTAAAGTAAACTTTGAGCTTTCAGTATTGTCTTAATAGCATATGATCTGCTGATGAACTTACCCGCCTGTTGTGCTAGTCAACACACTAGACTGTCACACTGGAATGCTGCTGCACAGATACTCAAAGTATGTTAACATGTTTACTACTACCCCTTACAGTGCAACATGAGGGTCTTTTTTCAGCATAAGTATTAAAGTGAAATTTGTACCTTCATTAGTAACAAAGTACTCTTCCCAGAGGAAGAGTTGCCTGCTGAAATGTAGGGCGAAGAAACAAGCAGAAAAGGGAATTTTGTATCATTTTTTCTAAATTTTCTTTAAGTTCAAAACTCCCCTGTATTCTAAATAGAACAAGGCAGACTACTTATGGTTTCAGAAGCTATCTGGATCAGAGTGCAAATCTACTGGCAGTAAAAATGTCAACACATAGAAGAGAATATGGGCCTATTATTTCTCCAAGAGTGAAGCCATTAGCAAAACTGACTAGCTGAAAGATAAAGGAAGCCAGGGGAAGACAGTGCTGTGTGAAAGACTTGCACACAGTTATACCAGGGAAGTTAAAGTTCATCATGTACCTTCTCCCGGGTGTCAAGTAATGCAGCTGTGAACTGGAACAGTGGACTGACTTAATCTCAAAATTTGCCTCCAAAACACTTCCTGGTGCTTTGAGTCCTGACCTTAGATCCAGCAGCAGAGAAACTCTGTGCTGTAACTATGAAAAGTAGGCAAGACTAGTCTTTAATAACAATTGATAGACAAAGCATGCTTTATAAAAGCAACTTCTTAAAGTGCTCTTTAAAACTGTTTGTACCCACATTTAACTTTTTTATTAAGTTTTCTTCCTGTGCAGGAAAAGCAAATATCTGTATATGCATGGCCCAAAGCTAGGAAGTGTGTCCTTCATTTCCTGGCCTGTACTTGCTAAGCTGGTTGCATTGCCTGTTGCACCTTCTAGGTCCAGAAACGCAGAGAATCTGCAATGCAAAGCTCTTACACCTTAAGCTTGCTGCTTTGCTCTTTGTGAGGAATCTGGTTTAGTTTAGTATGTTAACTAACAAGCTGCTAGCTGCTGTAACTGTATGAGACCAAAATCTAGCAAGTAAAAATTTCACATTGGCTTCCTTCTTAGGCAAATCCAAAATACTATTCATCTTCTCCAAAACAAGTATTTAAAGGACTAACACTGTATCATGGCGTTGACAGCGTGCTGCTCATTCTCATTTAAAGCTTTTCTGCCATTTTTATACAGCTGAACCAAACTTCTACAGCAAAAATTTGCTCTTTTTGGGGAAGACATACTTGAAGTTGAACAATAAAAAGATGGCTCTTCTGTGGTTAAGCAAAGCGAAGGATTATCCTGCACATACAGAAGAGGACAAGCAGGTAGGAAGTCAAGGATTCTAATAATACAGTCATATATTGTAACCATGACATCATGGCAGGGCTATGTTTATAAGGTTAACTCAGTGAATTGTAATGCAGCACCTATAATCCAGGATCATATCCAGACTCCATGAAAATCTAGTCTGTTGGTAACTGCCTCTAAATGAAATGGTTGGAACTACTCTGTCTATAATAGAGAACTGTTAACTTTTTGTCTTTGTCATGTTTTGCAGCATTAGTAACAACCCACTCTTAATGGTGTTGTTGAAGTTAAGGCAGACACCTGAACTAACCTATGTCTGTGTGAGCAGAGACTCACTTGTCATCTGCTTGAAACTGGAAAGGTCTAAATCGTATTTTGGAAGAGCTAAAAACCATGTGAACAGAAGGGAGCAAAAAGCATGGCTGTATCAAAAACTTGCTAGATCCACAGCAGTTATCATTGCAGTCCTTTCTAGGCCTGTATGGAGAGAGTTAGACTATCTGAACTGAGGCAGATGGAAGTGACCTGTCTTTGACAGCTAGGTGACATGAGGCACTTAAATTACCCTTTAGAACTGCTTAGAAGAATCCTGGTTTGGGTCACTAGGCAGCTGTGTCCTACCTGAACACATACAGAGTGCTCCCACGAGGGGCAATCCATTAAGACTTGTTCAGACCTAACATTGCATTCAGTATAAACCACAGCAACTGCAGTTACCTGTCATAAAAAATGCCAGTAGCTTCACAGTTAACAAAGCCCGATTTCCCAGTGATTTTTCTTAGGGTTGATTGGCCTCTAATTCATACTGCATGAAGCTGCAGCACAAGGTGCTTTAGCTGGTGGAGAAAACATCCAGGTTTCCTCAGTATCCTAACTGTAAGAAATATCTTGGAAGGGTTTTGTACTTCACACCTCAGAAAAAACACTACTGAGGTTTCCCTCTGTAGATTCTCTAGTAAGGCTCGAACTGTTTCTCCCAAAAGTGAGCTCCTTCAGTAATATCTTTCAGTAGGAATCTGGGAAAGGATTCTGTTCCTCCACAGCTTTGCAGAACGCATGGGAATGTAACAGCCTAAAGGAGGAGTGGTCTCAGGACTGCCTGCAGTCGGTCAGTTCTTCTGACAGTTGCTGGCAGCTAGAGGCACATGTGAAACCAGCAATCATGAGCCACCCAAAAGAATTTCTTTTCCGTAGGGATTTTTGTGCAGTGGCAGGGTTGTTAAGCTGCTTCTCTGCTGCAGCCATGCTTGGCCTCCTGGTACAAACACCCATTTCCTCATCGCCCAGAGGGGTGCAGAGCTGCTGAACTGAGAGGGGTGCTATGCTCTCCCTTCTCTGGGTGAAAGTGTAAAATGCACAATTCAGTGGGAACTAGGCTTGGCAGTGCAGTCAGAAGGAAACTGGCCTTTGCAGAGAAAAGTGAGTTCTAGTCTGCACTGGACGGAGGCTCGAGGAGGTTTCCTTCCCACTGGTTACCTCTGAGCACCTGGCTTACATTGTCTGCACTGCTTGCTCCGACAGGACCAGAAGTTTGTTGGCTTTTTGGTTTGCTTTTAATATAGATATTGGAAGTCATCTTCAAACTTCACTAGATTTTACCCAGAAACCTGAGGCAAAGGGACTCTCACAAACAGTCTTCTCACACTCCCTTAGCTGCTGTCCAGAATTTTGAAACCTCTGGGTTGATTTGTTGTGGTCAGATATGGGACAGCTTGGACTGCATACTGTGGGACTGCATATCAAGAGCTATTCACCTGTATTCAACACAAATAACCTTACTACATACAGTAAGCAAACTGCTCTGAAGGCACTGGCTTAAGTGGCTTTATTCCCATTCACATTTTAAGTGTTGAGCATCTTGAACTGCAGAAGACGAATTACTAGATGTAGGAGGGTTCTGGATTTGCAGAACTGTGGTGGAACACTGGGGTGCTTGCGTGGCAGGCTCTGCTAGAATGGCATCTAACTACCTGGCACTGTTCTGTTGTATTCGTATATTTCTTTCAGGTACAGAAAGAAGCTTTGGAGTTACTTAATTCTATATAATGTGAAACAAGATAATGGGAATCCAGCACCTCAGGTCTGTGCAGCATAGGAAGAGGACCCCAAATACTACTTTGGTTTATTAAAGCTGTCAATAAAAGTATAGCCTAAACCTGCTCTCTCCATCTCATTTCAGTTTCTCTGTCAGCGAGAGTATGTGTCATTGTGTGATCCCTTCTGCTGGTGGACGTGAGAATGAAGGGCCTCATGGACAAGCAGGGTGTATGTTGGAGGGGCAAGGCTGGGACAGGGCTTGCACAGCTACAAGTTAGAGCTGAGGAATAGGTAAGAAACATGACTAGCACAACTGAAAAGAAAGGAGGAACAGGGACATGATGTAATTATAAACCTACAGTTTTTCCTGGTTTCAGCAGCCTTCAGGTGTAACGTATACTCACATTACTAGGTGCTCCTACAGGTTTCTCGTTGAGGCTGCACTAGCAATCTGAAATGCTTGTGTCTGACTTTGCAAAAAGTGCTGTGGTTTAAAAAAAAAAGTAAAGTAGGGAGCACCTCTGAAAATCCTTTTATGGGTGATAGCAGCAGATGCAGTGAGAAGCTTTCGGTGAAATATGGATGTGTATGTGCATGTGTAGAGGCTGTGTGAACACTGAGGGTTTGGTGGCTGCACAATGTCTGCTGACAGGCACAGAGGTTCCCATCCCCATAGGCTGTGTGCTCCCAGGGCTGTAGAAGGGAACTACAATTTCGGAGCATATAGATCTCAGTTTGTAGAGAGGAAGCAAAAGTTTCTTGTTCTTGCTATGATGTTAGCAGGAAATTTCACCATAAAAATGAATTTACCTAATTTAAATACACAGCACAGAAAACATTTACAGACTTTGCAAACATTATATTCTGATTACCTAACGGAGGACCAAATAACAAAAAAAAAAAAAAAAAAAAAAGGCAGGCAATGAAATAAACATGGTATTGCCAGTAGAAAGTATAGCAATCTAGAACAGATTGATTATAAATACCTAGTGTTTGCTTTCATAGCAAAGGACAGAAAATATCCATTCATAGAAAAGGATGTTGCAGTCTACAGGAGGACGAAGGAGGGCATAAATTGCTTCAACTAAAAAACTGAGCCTGTGACAAGTCAGTAGTAAAAATCCACAGCTTAGAGACAATGTAGTGCTTTAATTTTACCCTCAAAGTTAAACTAGTTAAAAGATGAGTTTTCTCCACTTGAGGCAAAGTAATTCTTATTTTTCTATTTGTAGAGCATCAAACTAAAGTCTTCAACATGTCAGAGTCCCTGGGTGGATGCTGTGTAGTGTTTCTTCACATTTTCTACATTCCTACAGCTCTGTGGCAGAGGCACCTCAGTTCTGTGCCCTTCCTGCTGCAGGAGCTGGGCTGCACAAAGAGGAGCACTGCCCAGGGACCAAGTAAAGACTTCAGTGTTCAGAGAAGAGCAGCTGAGTTGCTTGCAGGAGAAAGGGACTACAGAGTAGCTCCTTCAAGTAGTGCCACCTATCTCACTGGTTCTCTCGTCTCATCTGCAGCCTTCGCTGCCTCCTCTCTTCACTGTCATACCCCTCCCCACAAGTACAGCTAAATTACAGGGAATGCAAATGGGAAAAGAAAAAGTTACAGTGTTGTTACTACTGGAATTCCTAGAAAGTCCAGGTTAACTATACACGTGCACACACAAGCGTGTAAGTTGTTGTGTTTTGGTTTTTTTTTTCTCTCTCTGGAGCTGTGCTTTCAGTCATCCTCTGAAATAGATAATATACATGAGCAGAAGGCCACTAGGATTATTTTTTTTTCCTTGCTTACTAACCCTTATTCGCTGGAAAAACTACTGCAGTCATGAGACAGATAAAATTATTAAAACAATAGAACAACTCCATCCTTGAGATGTGCTGTCTGTTTTATTATTACGTTGTTCACTTACAGACTCAGAAAATTCAGTGGTTGGTGGTGGGGCACCAAGTCTTTCATTAGTGCAAATTCATGAAGATCACCCTTACGAAATTTAGCCCTCTTCCTCATCTTTCAGGCAAGCCACACACACTTCTGTTGCCTGGCCTTTGACACAGTTTGTTGTGGTTTGGGTTGTGGTTGGTTGGTTGGGTTTTTTTGGGTTTTTTTGTCCAAGCTCCATTCTGACCAGCATAAGCCATAATTTAGTTGCTGTATTGGAAAGATATATGAACACACAAATATTTTTTCTGCATGTACACTTTTAACAGTGCAGTATGATACATCACAAAAGTGGCTTTAATTATATTCGAAGAAATCATTTTCATGGGTGTACAAAATTCTGTGTAAGCTGAATGTAATGGAATTTACAGTTAATATTTAATACAGTGGTAATTTAAAACACGTACTTACTCTAATAATAGAGAAGCATTGTTGGCTAGAAGTAGTATTTAATATCTTTCACTTGAATAACGTGTGTAAACTTATTTTAAAACACATCTTAGCAGTTCAGCAAATACACTCAATGCCAATAAAACTAATTTTAAAATGGCTTTCTGTTATTTAGGACAACCCTGACCTATATAAAAGACTGACAGTTTTTAGACATGCTTAACTCAGGTGCATCTGAATTTCTGGAAAAATGCAAGGGGAATGAGAGTATTTAATGCTTGGGAACACTTATCTGTGCAAAGCTTATGTAACTTACATTTCGTGTTTCCTAGATCCAATTATTTAAACTGAATATGAGCGTAGAAAGCAGCAAGGTTCACATAAGCTTCTGCATACCCTTAGAGCTCAGTTTGCATTAATTTACTTTACAGAGTTGTAAAAAGGACAGCACAGATTGAAAAGGGAAACAAAAACCACCACCAACAACAAAGAAACCTGTGAGTCACCAGACAAAGGAGAGTATGTGTAATATTTTATCTTTTATTATTATTTTTTCTTTGAAGATGACCTAACATCCTCGTGGTAATAACCCAAGGTAATATGTAAACAAATTTCAATGCTGCTCAAATGAATTAAAATATTCTGTTCGGCTCCTACAGTAAGTCAGAACAGTGGCACCAATTCCTTTCAACATAAATCACATTCATCTTGTACATAACTCTTGTGCAAGTAATAAAGGTTTTATTCATGACCTTGGCTACATCAGTAGAGAGATATATCAGCTATTCACATAATTAAAAAAATTAAACTGACAGAACAACTTATTCTGTCTTCTCGAATACCAGCAGCATCTTTCTACATATTTAGGATACGTTTGGCCTAAGCCTTTTTAACACCTTTTAGAACAGCCATGCAATAAAACAAACTTGGAGATGTTTCTTAAGAGAGAACACGGAGCAGTTTAGACATTTTTCTGAATAATAAAGCCAAGATAAAGCAAATCCAGGCCCTTTTAAATGGCTGCAACTTTTCATACACTTCAAGCTCTATAAAACTAGAGCCTATTAGTATATATATTTATATTTTTAATATATATTTTAAATAAGTCTCTTGTCTGCTTTCAAAATTTATGAGGGGTTTTTCTGGTCTTTTGGAAGGACAATAAATAAAAGTAGAAAAGGCTGAACTGTTTTGCATATCTTTGTGGAAGAACGGAGAACAATTATAGTTTTAGAGTTCCAGAAAGATCACTGTACAGAACAAAAAGCTTATATACAATTAAGTGTGCAATTTTACTTGGCTGGGCCTTTTATGATGCAAGATCTCCTTTTTGAGTGGAAGCCACTTCTACTCTTGACCAAATCCCTCTGTTTCTTCAATAGCAAAGAGCAGCTTCTCTTTTAGTTGTTCATAGCTTTTATATGGTGGCAAATCCAAACGATTAAAACTGAGCAGGAGAAAAAAAAAAAATAAGTTTAGCCCATGTACAACACTACAAAATTCAACTGCTACAGTAGAAATTTAAAATGTTCTGGTCTAACAATTAGAAATTAAGCAACAGCAACCAGTGCAATATCGCTGCCTTGACATTTCTATGAGCAGTAAAAACAGATAAAGTTTGAGAGGAACACTTTAAGAAACAACAGACTTAACCCATCAGATAAAACACAGAACCTTTCTTTGAAGACTAAAGACAGCCCAAGATACAGAGAACTATAACGCTCAGGAAAGGAAATGTTCACCATGAACTTCAGTATCATCCTAGCTGGATGCAACTCCAAATTCCAGCAAGTGCATGAAAAAGCCAAATTTCTCGCCTTCAAGAAGGGTGCTGCCTCTAAACCTTGCCCTAAAAGGCTTCTGCCAAAATTCTGTTTTGTTCTGTGTCTTCCCCAGAATGACCTTAGACAGAGATGTGTTTAACTCTTGCAATCATAACATGAAAAAGCAGAGGGGGTGGAGAAAATGGTAAGGTGGAAAATTTCCTTAAGTAGTTGTTAAGTTCATGAGTATTGTTGTCACAACGTTGCTCAAAGAAGGTGTGTCTGTTCTGCACCCAGCACATGCAGGAAACTGCTCCCTGTACCTGTTGCACCAGTTTGGAGTAGGAATGCCAAGCCAGTAAATGTCCAAAGCCTGGCAGGGAAAAGTATCTGCATTCTTTGGTAAGCATCCTTGTTTTGAATGTTTGCTGTGATTTCTTTCACACCATTTTTTCTCATGACACTTATATTTTATAATACTACAGTATAATAAGACAATCTAACACCTAATATCCACACAACTTTTTTGAGTTATTTAATATTCTCTAAAATAAAGAATTGGGGAAGCACCTCTCAGCTCTACGCAAGAAAGGCAACATCATACTATTGATAGATCTGATGCTGACAAACCAGCCAAATGCAGTAGCAAAATTTAAGAATAGGGCATCCAAAAAAGTTTTCAATACTAGCATGTCAGAGGAATCAGAGGGTGAAGATGGAGCTGAGGAACTGATTTGGTAAATGCAAGACCAAGAGAGAGAACCACTAAAGGTTCAGAAAGGTTACATGTAACAACTCACCAAGTGTGACTTCTTGGTAACCAGGTTTCCTTACCAACTTTTTCAATGCAGAATTTCTGAGGACCATTACTTCCTAAAAAAAGAAGATTTTAGAAAGTGTTATCTGCTCCTTTTAAGTAGCACACATAATATTTATGTAAGACACAGGTCAGTTACAGCAAACAAAGCTCATTAGGTGCTACTCAATGTTACATGAACATTCTCTTCACAGAAAAGAGCTAATTTCCTAATGATTTGTAAAAGTACTCA